CTAAGTTGAGCACGAAGCTCCTATCTAATGGCAGACGTGCCAGTCTTATATAGAACCTTCATCCTCAAGTACTATGATCTGGGTAGCCAACTCGCCTNGTCGAGCTGGCGGTCCGTTTCGCTAGGTCGCCGAGCGATCCAGCGATCCAACTTAATCATGTGACCATAACCAATGGAAATCCCTGGATCGCTTAGCTACCCTAAGCGATCCCTATTTGCTATAAGAAACCTGGGTATGCCTGTCGAGGGTTGCGCCTCTTATTATGACAAGTATCACGTGAGCACGTGATTCGTGACAGTTTGGCCGGTTCGCTATACATGCACGTTATAGGGTTAGGTTATTAACTCCTATCTTTCTAAGCCAATAGTAAGTATAAGTACTTTAATCTAATTATACTTTTATAAACTAGTATACTTTTATAAACCTAGTAAACTAGCGTACTTTATAAACTTAGTATATTTATAAATAGTTTTATTCTTTTAGTCCCTTATTATTTACTTCTTTCTAAATAAGTAATTTATTCTCTTTTCCTTTTCCTAACCTTTAATATAAATCTCTTACTTCTTTCCTAGTAACTAGAAAAGGAAAGAAGAGGAGTTAATATATACTTGTGACGGTTATGGTCACGAGGGCTGGATGTCACATGCTCGCTTAGCGAGGCGCTAGCGCGCACGACCTGTATTTAGTTCCCAGCTCACTAGAGCTCTCCTTCTTTCCTCGTCTTTTGTCCTAAGAATAGAGTGTTAATTGTTCTGAGTTCTACCTGAAGCACGTCTGTCACAATACTAACTTAGTCTAAGTACTAATATAGTTATTAACTAGTAGTTTCTATTATACGAAACCTATAACTTATATTTAGAATAGAATAAGAGTATATGATAAAGAGGGGGTATATACTAGGGCTATATAAGCTAGGCTTCTACCTATATATACTTAGCTCTCTAGTTATCTAAATGTAACTCTTCTAGTATATTAGTTCTATATTCCTAGTAAAAGTTACTTATATTTTACTTAGAGTTAAACTAATACTACTTATTACGTACCTTTATAAGTATAAACTAAATAGCTCTTAATCTAGTATACTAATTAGGTACTAAAGTAATACCTAAGGTATTTAGGGATTTCAGAGTACTAATATAGTTACTAGAATAACTATTCCCGTATACGATATATGTAATTTAGTACTAAGAGCCTTAGATCCCCCTCTATCGAACGGGCCGAGCCGATCCCGTCGGTTATATAAAAGCCTGTTAATTAAGTACCTTGAGAAGCCTCTTCGCGGAACATAGGAAAGCCTACGTAGAGGTCCGTTACAAATTGCTTCCTTACGAACAACCCCTTTACGAACCGACTGAAACAACATCTCTCAATCATACATAAAAGTACAACCCCTACTACGAAAGAGCCTCATACTCGCATTCGCACTTTTGGACTGCCGGTACCCTACGCTATTCACTTACAAAAGAGCCTCAGATACCACCGCATTTGCTCATTCACACTGTCGGCACACCCAATGGTAGACTACTGGTATACAAGAAACCTACGCTATTCACCTACGTAAACTAGCCATAAATACCCCATATTTTCTCATCAATTGCTGATACCCTATGCTATTTACCCGAGAAAGAGCCTCATACTCCCTTTTGCACTCCTAGCCGACATACGTCATTTCTATTAACTAATCAGAAAGTTTGCTAGTACGACTTACATCTACATTACATATATGGAGAATGAAACTAATTACTATATATAGTATAGCCGAGTAAAAGTGGAATTGATTACTCTCCTTTTAGACCGATATTAATAAAACAATTAGGACGAGAAGTAGAGGATTTAATTACATAAGAAAATCTAATTATATAAGATAAGTTTTAAATAGAATTAAAGCGATAATTACTTTAAATACTATTATAGCGGTTTAGCCTTCTTTCTAAGTTATACTAGTACTAGAATATATTATAAATAGATATTACCTAGCCTACTTTACTTCTTTAGAACCAGTATATAAAAACGTATTTAGATATAAATAAAGAACTTGGTTTTTATATTACTATACGAGCTTAAAGTTTACCTAATGAAAGCTTTTAACTTTTAACTTTTTGTTTTGAATTTTAATGACCTTATATAACTCTAATAAGTCTTAGTTTATTTACGCTATTATATATATAAGGGATATAGTAAGAAATTTAAAGCAAGGGGTACTTATTACTAATTTAGAGCCTTACGTATTTATAGAGTACTATAAGTCTGTGTGGCAGAGGTACGGTATTTTGTTTCTTGTGTTTGTAGTTCCGCCTTAGATTAGTTCAAACTTTTGGTTACACACTTATGGCGATAGGATGCTCCTAAAGTCACACAACATCCTTGACGCCAAAGGTCACCGAATCATTGATTTCGGGAATCTTACACAGCAGCGCAAGTGGGCCATTTTCATTGAAACCTCTTTGCCCCTCGTTCGAAACTCTTCGAACCAGAAAGTCGATCAGCCTCGAGTTTCAGAAAACACGGCTGGAAAACTCCATCACAATTTGCCTTATACACTACCACTTCACTGAGCCTGTAGCAACATTGAGGAAAATGAAGATGGAGTCGAATACCGAAGAGAAGTACTTTGGCCCATTCGAGAATATCCAGTCTCCTGGATATCCAATTCTGGCAGATATGATGGGTCGTGTCGGAGAGATTGCAATATTCCGGAAATTTGGCGCATTGAATATTCTCAATCTGATGAGTATGCAGGCTGAATTACTACAATTAGAAGATGATCTAAAGGACATCCTGGAAGCTTTTGATGGAACAACTCCAAAACAACTGTTTTTACAGGATTTCTATGAGGTACGCAACCAGGAAGATGGAAAGGAACTACGAGATCAGATGAAGGAGATAAAAGCCAAACTAAACGAATACAGTAAGTACAATTCCTCAAAATAGAACCTAGGGAGTCTAGAGACTTACTCAATCTTCAATAGATAGCGCACTCTTGCAGGTCTCGCAGGTCGCCTCACTTCGTCCTCCTCGAAAAGCCAACTTACACTTTTTGCATACCTGGCTCCGTGGGTTTTCACCCGGGCAAGGAAATTCATTTCAGAGGGGCACAGAAAGGAAGACTTGGGAGTTGAGGCTACGACTAGATGATTTTATAACCGTGAAGAGTACCTCAGACGAGAAGGATGCCACCACAGCTACCGTTACCGACAGAGCTATTACTTGGTATCACAATGTTATCGGTAGCAATACAAGAGTATGACACCATCTCCATCATTATTCCGTATTCCATTCTATGACTATATATTGGTTCTCTGTTAAAAAGTTCAAGATATTGATCTCATCTCTAGGCACCTATTAAAAAAGGCACGGCAATTATTGAGTATACTGTAACGGGCACTGCAACAAAATACTTAGTCACACTAGTTTCATCAATGCTTCCCGCAGTCTCTATACTAGGATTGTACTTTGAGAAAGATTTGCTGCATAGAATCTGGATAATGCTTGGGATGACGTTCGTTTTCGCCGCGGCACTCTCTTTTGGTACATCAGCTAAAAGGATTGAAATTTTCTCTGCGACTGCTGCGTAAGTACACCACTCGATGAACTACCTGTCATGCACACACTGAGTTCAATACTAGCTTTGCAGCTGTTGAGGTTGTGTTCATCGGTAGTGCGGATTCATCAAATCACTGCCCTCCCCCATGTTAAAAACACAAACGGTGATACACGAGGAACCATATACTTTAAACTATGACCTTTTTTTTTTCTAAAGAAACTTAATACTATGTTAGTTCTCAATATCTACTTTGGTCTAAGAAGACTTAAAATATAACTATTGTAATATATCTGTTGGGAAGCCTGTAGTGCTCGATACTACGGGCATCTAACCAATGCAAGTGGAATATACAGATATGAATACAGATCGATCAAGGAAAGGAAATATAGAAAGGACAGGTACAGAATAGTTGTTGATTGTTGACGATGGAGAGTGCTAGCTAGGGAGCGTGTAGTGGGATATAATCCCACTGTCAAGAATGCTTAGTCATCAGATCCGGATATAGTGAATGTATTCAGACAATATCTACTACTTTATTACGTGGATATCTAAAAGCTTAGCCTTCACGAGTACTTAACTTAGTACTCGTCCTTTAACTTTAACATTATCCAATTAACTAACATACTAACTTTTATATATACTTGTTATTACTATTCTATACTCTTATTTAAGTATCTCTTAACTTATACTAATAATAACCTTTACTTAATACTAATTTTAGTAGTAAGTAAGATATATATTATAGTAGTTATAATCTAATATTAATAAACGATATAATTCTAGTTAATTATAACTTTCTTTCTATAAAAAGACGGTTATTTTTTAAAGTTTTTAATTTCTTACTATTTTAATATTCTTAACTACTCGCGTTTTTAATAAAGGTTATATATAGCGCTATAAGTTAGAAATATATAAAAGAGATTAGATTTCTACTTCTAAGAATATTATAAAGATTTACTACCTAGAGACTTTTAAATAATATTTTACTTATAGGATTTAAGTACTTTATAGCGAGTTATATAACTAGTATTAAAAACGCGGGTAGTCGAGAATATTAAAAAAGTACGAACTTTAAACCTATAAAAGTATATTCCTACGAATAATGAAGAAACTATATACTTAGGACTAAAATCTTTCGAGATAGTTAAATTATAGTATATTTTTAATAGTTACATCTTACTTTTATTTGTGAGGGAGCTGGATTTCATTTGACAGGATTTCATTCGCTTGGCCAAGCACGTGACGAGACTTGGCATTGGAACAACTTAAATAACTTCGCTCCTTTCAGATTCTCTTCTCTCTTTAGTTTGATTTCTTCGTACCTACGGTTTTAGTTCTAGCAATTGATTCAAAAGCTGTATACACTTTATCCTTTGTTGGCATCCGTGACATTATTTAGCCTAGAGAGGTAGTTACTAAGGAGTTTAGAAAGGGGCGAAAAGTCGATTTTTATAAGTCTCTTTATCGTTTACGCACTATTATAAAAAGGTAGATATATTAAGTAAAGCTAGCTATAAGTGTTTTATATCTAAATACCTTCCGGGATAACTAATATAACTAATCCGAATTAGGTACTAATAACTATTCCCCTGTCACGAATCACGTGCACACGTGACAAGTGAAGACCAGACGGCGTCATGACAAGCCAAGCACATATGGGCCTGGGAGCTTTATGTGTTCTGGGAAACCAGAGTGAGTTTTCTTATGTAAGCAGGAGCCGTTAATTGGTTGGATAATGTATATGGATGTATACCTTTACCAACATGTTGGTCACGTGATAGTCGACTGGTCGACTCGTCGACCTGTCGACCAACATTCCTTAGTAGTAGTATTCAGAGGACGAGGGTTCTATATAAGACTGGCACGTCTGCCATTTAGATAGGAGCTTCGTGCTCAACTTAGTTATCAATCTTATCATATTAGTTTGACATCTTTGATACAAGTAACGAGTTCACTTCCAAGTGAACAACCCGATAGTCTTCTTCTTATCATAGCATACCAACCAGCGAACACCCAGCCAAGTTTAGTTAGCCAGTTTGAGTATTCGTTACAATAAGGTATACGCTTATTCCTTTTAGTAGTCTATAGGCTTCTACTATTCTTCTGGCTATTAGAATAGCGGTTATAGATATAATCTTATCTAGGCTCTTTGTCACGAATCACGTGTTAGCATGTGACGAGTGAAGACCAGGCGGCGTCCTGACAGGTTAAGCACTATCATTGGGCTCTTATAGCAAGTGAAGGGTGGGGCAGGCTTGCTGCTCCATCCAAGGATTTCATTGTATGTAGTCACGTGATGGATCTTGGGATCTTGAGGATCCCAGGATCCAGACAAGGGATCTGGGGGATCCTCAGATCCACATGGGAACGAAGGTTCTATATAAGATGGCATGTCTGCCATTAGATAGGAGCTTCGTGCTCAACT